TATCGACAACACCATCGGTCACACACGTCGAGGTTGTACGATTGAACGGCAAGAAACATAACCCAAGTTGCCAGATCCAACAAGAAGTTCTAATTCCTGTATTCCAGTTTGTTCATTGACATTATTTTTAACATTATTCTAGAGTTCAGTTAGTTCAATTCCTTTTCATTTACTTCCGTCGATTAATAAAATTGTTATTGAATATTTTACGCGTTCGTGTGTTACTCAGTAAAATCCTATAATTCGAAAAAGCCCAGTGCCACACAGGACTGGTCGAACTCACGATAAAAATATACCAAAAAATTATTGTCGGACCATAAAAAAATTCCCTGAGAAAGATAGAGGAAGAGTACTCACTTCCAGTACTAATTTCCGACAATATTATTACCAGTACCATTATCAATATTATTATTACCATCAATATAATTGTCAGTACCATTATTATTACCATTATTAACATTATCATAATTACCATCATTATAACTATTTTTATTAATATTGACATCATCAATATTATTATCACTATTATTACTATCATTATTTTTATTATTAATATTATTATTCTCACCACTATCATTATTATTACCATCACTATTATTACTGTCATTAACAACAACAAAATTATTATTATTATTGCTGACATTACTATTTGTATTGTTGTTATTGTTAATTTGGAGGTTGGCTATCAAGGGTTTAGAAAACAGTTTGTTATTGACATAGCAATAAAAATTCTTAACATTCGCTTTAGACAACAATTGGTTTTTTTTTATTTTTGCGGTGTAGATTGGCTAAGCCGGAGCAGTAACAGGAAATCCTCAAATATTCTTCTTTATCAACTGGATTTGAACTTGTTCTCCATTTCCTACAAAAATAAAGTTTAGTTTTGTATAATAAGTGAAGTGCCCTAGGAGCTAGATGTTGAGACGGTGATTGACTGCGTCCAATTTTGGGAACAAAAATCGATATTGCGTGGTTGATTATTTGTTCGAATGTGTCCCAACACATATTGACATTAAAACAGTGCTGAAAATGATAATTCCAATTTATATTAGACAAATAATTATTTATATCATTAAAATTAGCACTGTTAAAATCATAGGAGTACGTTTTGATGAATGGGTTGACGTCTGGTGGGTTGTTGATGAAACAGTTGATTTGAAAAGTGAGGATGTTGTGATCTTGAAGCAAGCGGACTGATAATCTCTAACTCAGCCAGTAAACTGGAATCATCAGAAAGTACCAAGTCGAGGACATTTTGACCTCGAGTGCGCTGATCGACCAGTTGTTGCAGACCAAGTTCATTAAAAAGTTGAATAAATGAATTAAAAATTGAGTTATTTGGTGAAAAATAATTGGTCCAGTTGATGAGTGGGAGATTGAAGTTACCTATCAAACAGTTGACATGACCTCTACTCAGCTTTCTAATGCATTGTATGCTATCAGTGGCATAATCATCAGCCGACCTGTCAAAACCACCAGGGCGATAGTATGATATGAAGCGGTGATGCGTAGATGATATGGTAATATCAATAGATACTATGTCGATGTGGGAGTATTTAGATGGTATTATGACCTCTTTGAAAGACATTGAGTTTTTTATGATAAAGCCCACGCCTCCACCACGTGATCCACGATCTTTTCTAACAAAAACGTATCCGGGAGGTAAAAACAAACTGTCACAATCATCTGGAGAGAGCCATGTCTCAACAACAGAAAAAATATCCGAATCATAATCCGATAAAAATAAAATTAAGTCAATCTGTTTATTTTATAAGCTTCTGACGTTAGTTGAGGCCAACCGAAGAGGTCTGATTTTAACGAAAGGGCTGTCCTTTGTCAGTCTCTTCCGCTTTAGATTTGTCACCGGCTGATTTGACAAGGCGTCGTGCCTGGCGCTTGATGTAAGCTTGTTCTGTCTGTCTTTTTGACAAATCAAAGTTTATAAAAATATTTCTCGTATCAGGCTTTGAACGTAGGATCCTACAAGAGGATATTAAATCATCTACTGCCGATGGTCCGGACAAGGTAACACATAGTTTTGAGCTGCCAATACTACGTGTTTTAACCACCTGTGGTTTGATCGCCAGATGTTTTTTACAGAGATCCAACACAATATCTCTGTCATTGATTCCTGATTGCTCCACAAGACCAGAAATGATCTCGTTATTAGCTCGGCGTTTCTCATCTTTACGCTCTCGTTCAACTATCCACAGAGCCTTGTCTCAACGAGACACCAATGATTGAGCAAATGACCAAGGCACATTGTCCACATTGTCCACCAGTGTCTCTGACACTCAGAGACACTGGTGGACAATGTGGACATAGTATTGTGAAGTTGACACATCGAATCAGTGACGGCGTCTGACATACTTCTGACCGCTCGTTCGAAACTACTACTGAAGGCCTCCATCCGCAGCAATGTTGATTCAAAACGTTTGCTCATTAAACCCTCCGAGTTAGCCAGTGATTTGCGCAAATTTTCGTTTGACTTTTCAATAACCAACGTCAGGCTGGAGTCAAACTTTTCAAATATCTTTTCAAGACTGTTGTTGGATAGAGTTATGACTTTTTCAAGGTTTTCGTTAGATTTCTTAAGCAGATTGTCGAAACACTTCATAGTGTGATCATTTGACTTATCTAGTATTTTGGCCACAATACTTTCAAATGACTCGATGGGGATTGATGTTTAGTTGATGACATGATGATACGTATCAAAATTAGGATATTTTAACTAATATTTTTAATGGTTAATTATTTAGTTCAGTTTATTAGTCGGTGGAAAAAAAAATTTAACACAGCGCAAAGCAATACAAAAATTCAAAACAAACAATACAACTTTGGAGACTATCCTATAACACAACTATATCTTTGTTATTACGTCGAATAAACACTATTTATAATTGAATTTAGATAAACTGAAATAAATAAAACTAATTTAACCGCAATTAATTAACTAACAAAAATTATAACATTTAATGCTGCAAACTTTTATCTATTTTGTAATGGTTTGTGGTACTAGGTGTGTTTGTGAAATGTCGTGGGAGCCCATTAATGTCAATGTTAAAGTTTAAGAAACTAAATATAAATAAATCAGTTGGGCCTGATAATATTTTTTCTAGGGTTTTGGTTGAGTGTAGTAGTGTGATAGTGTGATTGCGGATTATTTATGTGACTTATTTATTATTTCTTTGGATTTGCACACAATTTCGGATGCACAGTATTGTTGTGCCTGTTTATAAAAAGGGTGATGTATGTAGTGTGGAGAATTACAGACCAGTTTCCTTATGTTGTTTGTGTTGTAAGGTCTTGGAGTCAGTAATTAAAGATCGTTTGATGAATCATTTTGAAGACAATAATTTATTTAATTGTAGACAATTTGGATTTATGCCTGGGAAATCTGCTGTTTTGTTGTTGCTAAAGATGTTGGATGACCAGAGATCTTGAGGGGTCTGGTTATCCTACTTTGATAATGGCGAGAGATAACAAAACAAGGGATCATCTATTCAAGCTTACAACGCAAAAGTTTAAGAGAAATTTGCGCAAATTTTCTTTTTGTAATCGAGTGGTTGACACTTGGAACCGTCTGGGAGAGGATGTGGTGAATGCATGCAATATTGATGATTTTAAAAAGAAACTTTACAATGCTTTAAAGGATATGTCCTGTAAATTTAATTATAAGCTTGATTTATATATATATATATTGGTAATCGACCATAATTTTTATAATATTTTATAAACTCTACCGAATGCTTGGCGTTAATATGTTTGTAGTTCGTTTTTTCGATTTTTCTCACGTTTCTAAAGTTTTTTGGTGAACGTTTAGTTTATTAAAATTCAAAATAAACTTGTTTTCCGAATTCATGCTGCAAATAAGGCCATATATCAGTGCTTTCTGCTGTTTATATAGAGAAATATTGACTTTGTCAAAATGAACTCAGATGAAGATTGACTTTGTCAAAGTGAACTTAGATGGAAATTAGGTGTCAGGTTTCTTTATTGGCTGGTCATCTTCTTTGGTCTCCTTTTCTTCATCGATAGCATCATATTCTTCTTTGTCACTATTTACAATGCTAGTTTTTATTACTTCTTTGTTTTCATTGTTGGTTAAGCGCCGGGTTGGAAGTGAGGTTGTCATTTTTTGTTGTATATTTATTTTTGGTTTATTGATGTCAATTAGGACTACTTCTGCAATTTTAAGATGCGTGTAGTTGCTGTTCTGGTATATTACTTTGGTGTTACTGTCGAGGATTTCACGGCTATTTGTGATTGAGTGTGTTGAGTCTAAATGAGATTTGATAGCACCACATCGTAAGCCTTCTAGTCAGTGAGGTAGTAGTAATCCCGATATATGAGTCGTATTGACGTGCACAGCCGTCAAAAGGGCAATTAAATTCATATATTACGTGATTACGCCTTAGCACAGAGTTATCTCTAGGATTACAGTTGTTTTTCAGTATTAGGTGAGACGTCCACCAACCATCCAGTACCATCTATTTCAACATCAACTCGGAAGCATGATGATATGCTCAATCGTATTAAGGCTGTACTACTCGTTCACACACACACAGACACACACACACAAATATATATATATATGTATATATATATATATATATATATATATATATATATATATATATATATTAGATTCTTGCCCTAATACCTTCTAAAGGGATACATGAAAAATGGCGTCTAAAGGTAATTTGTCGGTCAATGAGGTTTTATATTTTTTATAAATAACTTAAATTTACTTCAAAATGACGTGTTTATTTCAATTGTTGTTGATTTTTACACTTCTGACGATATTACTACTGCATTAAAAACTATAAAAAATGACTTAGAGTTTGTTAAAAATGAAAAGTTTGCAAACATGGAAAAAAATTCTGCGAAAAGCAATAAAAAAGAGGACAAAATGCTTGATATTGTTACAATTATTCTGCAATTAAACAACAACAATTTATTGGAATCTTTACCAACCTACGTTAGTGTTAATTTTTCAAAATTCCCAGTATGGAAAATATATTAAATGTAAATTTCAATAAAATTAAATTGGAAATTAAAGAAATATTGTGCAAGCAAGAGTTGTACATAGCAAAACTAATAGAAAACATGAATGTAAACTATCTTGCCAGCAAACCGACCAGCGCACCTGAATATCATACGCTGGAAATTGTCCCACCAACTAAGCAAACTAAACAAAAGCATTTCATTGACAGCAGAGTCAACAGCAACAACAATTTCTTCATCAACAACAGCGGCGACAACAACGGCAGCAACAACAGTACTCTATGGGCAGATGTTGTGAGAACTCCAACTGAAAATATCGACCAACCATTCACAGTTGTTCAGTCAAAAAAACGACCAAGATTAAACATCACTCCAGAGATGGTTGAACGAAGTAACGTCAATAATGAAAGCATCATAAAATCTACTACAAAGATTATGATGGAAAAACCAGTTAGAAAAATAATTGGTAACAAGAAAAATGATGAATTATGCAAAATTAAAGCTAATAAAATGCTCATAAAAAAATCATTTTTTTCAATGAGCAATGTTCAAAAGTGCCACAGAAATGATGTTATAGAATATTTAAAATCCATTGATATAAATATCATTTCATGTTTTTCAGTACTGAAACGAACAGATTCTCCCGCCAATGAAAGTCCAAACAACGACGATTGCGAGTCAACGATGTTCAGAGTATGCGTTGAAAGTAGCGATATGCTAAGATGAAAAATCCGGACGTTATTTTGCAACATATCATCGTCAAAGAATGGAGGTTCAACCCCAAAAAACCGATGACAAAAACAACAACAAACATGAAAAACGATGTTTCTAATAAACGTTATCTCAATATGAAAAATGATGAACAATGGCCAATTTATCTTCATCTGATAGATGGCGCCTGACAATAATGAAGTTAAACCTGGTCGGCTTGATGATGTTAATCCTGATAGTAATTTGTTGAATGATTTAAATAATGTGTGTTCTTTTTTACCTCCGGATAAGGTTTATGCATTTATTAATCCGAATTCTTTTTCTGTTTTTCACATTAACATTCGAAGTATGTTTAACAAAATGACTGAATTGAATGTTTTGCTTGATTATTGTGGTGTTAATTTTGATTTGGTAGCTGTGAGTGAAACTTGGTTATGTGATCAGACAGCTAATTTAATTAATTTGCCTAATTTTAATTTTGTATCTAAAAATCGTATAGGTAACCTAGGTGGTGGTGTTGGTTTATTTATTAAAAGTCATTTAAATTATGTTGTTCGGGATGATTTATTATCTTATTCTCCTACTTTTGAGTTATTAATAGTTGAAGTGTTTTCAAATATTAGCTGTAATTTATTGTTATGTATCGTCCTCCTTCTACTGATATTAATTTATTTTTGAATGATTTAAAATATTTACTCATAAATATTAATCCTGGTTTATTTAAATATATTTACATTATCGGTGACTTCAACATTAACTTATTTTGTGATGATTATAAACATATATCCACTCTATTCATCAATTCTTTAAGCTTCTTTGGTTTTATTTTTTTGATTACGACTGCAACACGTGTTACTACTACTTATTCATCTTTTTTAGACAACATTTTTACTAACAACATTTCTTTTCATAAATCTGGTGTTATTTTTTCTTCAATGTCAGACCACTTTCCTATATTTACTTCTTTTCATTCTCCTGTTATTAATATACCCAATTTATATATTCCTTCCTTTAATTATAATTTTTATAATATTGATAAACTAAATTTATATCTTAAGTATTATGATTGGAGTTTAGTCTTGAATTGTTCTCAGACCGATGAAGCTTTTGAATTATTTATTGACATCATAAAAAATGCTGTCATTAAATGCTGTAGTATCTCTCGGAAAAAAACTCTTAAAAAAGCCTTGGATCACAAAGGGTTTAATTACTTCATCGGTAACAAAAAATAAATTATATAAAATTTACCTAAGTTCAGGCTCGCCGTCGGATAGATTGGTATACACTAAATATAAAAACATTTTTCTAAAGTTATGTAAATTATCCGAATTTTCTTATTTTAACAACCAATTCACTAAATGCAAATCAAACAGTAGACTAACCTGGAAACTTCTTAAATCATGTTTAGGGTTAAAGCATTCATCACCTCTTAATATTATTGTCAATGATCAAATTATTAGAGATGATTTCTTATTATGTAATCATTTTAATAATCATTTTTCATCTTTAAACAATCAAAATGTTTCAAATTCATCTAAATGTAACTTTAAAAAAATTTTTTCTTCTAGTATCTCAAATTCTTTCGTTTTGTTTGAATGTCAGCTATTTGAAATTATTGATGTTGTAAAAAATTTTGATAACACATATAGTTGATAAATAGATTTTATTTCAAACTTTTTATTAAAAAATATTTTTCAAAGTGTCTTATTTCCGTTGCTTCATTTAGTTAATTTATCTTTTAAAACTGGTCACTTCCCTAATTGTCTGAAAATTTCTAAAGTGTTGCCTTTATTTAAATCTGGTGACCGTCATTCTATTAATAATTATCACCCTATCTCTGTTCTTTCTAGTTTGTCAAAATTAATTGAAAAAATTATTTTAAATCGTCTTAATAAATTT